CCAGCTTGCTGATTGGTAAGTTGGTGACCAACAAAACATTGCTGTGGTCAATAAGGAATGTGAGATATATCTAATACTCCAGGTACTCAAACACCATGTAGTCATGGCTTACTTAAATGTCTTTTGGCGTGTCAGCACAGTGTCTAAGAGGTGTGCTTCGAACTGCCGGGTTCGATTCTGATCTAGAGCAGTCTTTTTCTGATTAACGAATTCCCTTGAACAAAGCATTTTCCGCATATTGCTTCAGACCGTGGTATTCACTCGATATGGCCTCAGACTTAGAATCGACAGGTCGCGAGTTCAATCCCTCCTCGGGGTCACTCGCGATTATTCTTTCGAAGGTTGGTAATTGAGTACCTTTTTATGGGAAGAAAAGAGGAGACTATGTGCTGCGCTCATCACATAGCTGTAGATTCTGCCTTAAGAAGCATAAGGCACATTTGAATCATGGTACAGAAGCGGATCACCTCTGCATCATCAACTTCATCAAATGAATTGTTCCACACTGACTCAATCATGAATGTGAAGGAAGAACGACATACAACGGTAACAAGCTTTCCTCTCTAAATGGTCCTTATGTATAAGAGCAAGAGATCGTGCAATACCCAATGGAATTCGACTGGAATAATTGACTTCTTATTATCCTGCTCTGGTTTAAGAACGAGGATTTTGACATTTAGTTCATTTCACATATACAGAAAGTCGGCGTCGATGAGATACATCTGTCGTCTGTCGCACGTCGCCATTCCTCGGTCTTGCGCATTCTGTCGCACGTCGCATTTACTTTACGTCTGTCGCACGTCGCATTTCCTCCACTGAAGATGTTTACTTGTGTCTGAGTGGGACACCGGTTTCATTGCAGTACGGCATCTATTAGCCTTTAAAAACCACCAGTTCCTTATTGTGACTTTAAGCATCGTGTAGAAGCAAGACAAAATAGCCCTTTTTGCCAAAACTGTATCTCTGCGTATCCGGATACATAAGAAAAGACGTAAAGTTTCGAAATTTAAGTGATGGATTAATAACGAGGCTTCTTCGCTTGTTTTGAGTCTGTTGTCTTTCTTCATGGAGGCCCATCCATTCCCCTTCCATTTTCCAGAGATACTCCTGTTTGTGTAATCATCCCCACCATCTTCCATGACTGCTTCTCCTTTCGGATAGCGGAGACAGACGCGTCAGGCAGTGCTTCCAACGTTCGCGATCCTGTGTCAGAGTCTGAGCTACAGAAGACAGCTGGAGTCTCTGGAGCAGACTCCATATATTTTCATCAGGCTAATCATGGCCGTTCCCTGGGTCTTCTGCCGGTCGGCTGCGCAAGAACTGGTTGCTCCGCTTTCCTTCCTGGAGGCATTCGAAACACGTACCCAAACTATCGCAGCAGTGACTTCCCAATGTGATGCAGCAGCGGATCTACACCAAGGTTCTCGCGCATTTCTGTACTCCGGACCAAGTCGAGTCGGGTAAGTCGACGACTCGTCTCAGCAAGTTCAATTCAACCGCTTGTACCCAATATCGAAGTTTTTCAGTCATAATCCACAACTCATGACCGTACGTAAACATGGGGATGAAAATCAACCTGAACACCGAAACCTTAGTCTGGAGACTCAGCTCTGCTTTACTCACAAGGCTGCGAGATACTTCAAGCGGAACACCGCTGGTTATTCCACTCAGCCGGTTGATCTCTTCCTCAAATTTCTTATCCCCAGTAAACACGACCCTGAGGTACTTGAATTTTTCTGCCTGCTCCGGCTTCTCCGCTTTTCGGAAGGGGGCAACGGCCAGGAGGACGAGAAAACACAAGACTTTTCGTTTTAGATACGTTCACACGCATACTGGCAACGTCGAACTCGGCTGCGAATCATTACAGAAGCGCTGTAGATCAGCTTCAGGTGATGACAGTAAAACAAGATCATTTGCAAACAACGACCTTTTTCCCCTCGACGCCTACACTGATACACTAATCTCCTTGACTGAGCCTCTCTATTCTGTCCAGGTATAGCAGAAGCAGAACACGGTCAGAGCGAAGTCTTGGTTGAGACCGGTACCAACGCTTAAAGATTTCGATTTGACTCCATTTATTCTCTCGCAACTACTGCTATCAAAATATACTGATTGGATAGCCCGTAGGAACTGTCCATTAGTCCCATGTGTTGGCAGACATGCACATAAACTGTTGTGTGGAATCCGGTCATAGGCTTTCTCTAAGTCAACAATGCATGTGTACACTGCATGGGCGAACTTCCACGATTTCTAGCAATCTGGAATAGCGCAAATATATGGTTAGATGTACTTCGGCCGCGTCGGATGCCACAATAGTTTTTTTATGTCTTATAGTCAGTTATTTCGCAGCGCTTCCTTTCTAGCACCTTTGCGTATACTTCACCTGAGAGGCTCAATAATTGAATTTTCTGATAGCTGGAGCACTCCCTGTAGTTTCCCTTCTTGAAGAGGGTTACTTCACAGCCCGTTCTCCAATTCGCTGGTATAATTTCCGTTACCATGAGAGTTTGATAACCACGTGCAACCAGGACATACCTTGTTCTCCCATTGCTTTGAGCATTTCATAGTGGATTTCATCAATTCCAGTGCCTTTCCACTTTTCAAGCTTTTCACAGCTTGTATGATTTTATTCACAGAAATGCTAATATTTGTAACCTGCTGCTCTGCAGGCGAATCTTCCTGCGGTTGCTTGGGGTTAAGGAGTTCCTCAAAGTACTCTCTCCATTGCAAAGAATTGTCATTCTCAGTATGACGATGTTTAGACCTATCCTTGAAGACTGTTAGACAGCCGTTCTTTTCACCTTAGAGCCGCCGGACGATCTGCCAGAATACCTTGTTTTAGTCCGGAAATTCCACTCCAGCAGTTCTCGGAACTTCTCAAAATCAGCTTTGGCTTTAGTCACTGTTTCGCTGCCGCCTTTCGCGCTTTTACATATTGCATGCGAGATGAAGGTTCTTTGCTTACAAACCATTTTTGGGATATGGCCTTATTCTTATTTAGTTGTACTTCTTCTTTCCAGCATGAAGTTGTTTTCTGACTTCCGTGGACAAACCAACTCGTTTGAATCGTTAGCATTCGGCGGCCGCGCGGAATACGGCACTCTCAAAGAGCTCTCCTCGGATTTCTCATAAGTAGTCATCACCGGGACCTGTTCAAGTCGTCGTGCAATATTGTTTGCATGTTTCGCTCTCGTATCCACTGAAGATAACATTTCGCATTTGATTCTCTGGTTGCTTCTGCGGCCAGATCTTCGTATGGTACTCCATTTCTTACAGCATAGCGTGCCAACAACTAGGTGCATAGCTCGCCGTTCTCTTAAGGCGAACATTCATTGCAGAGCGTATTAAGTCAAACGATACGATTATCAAACCAGTCATCGACTTCTGTGCGCAGGCTTCCCTTTACCAGATACACTGATACAGGCTTTGATGCTCGAAGAAGGTATTCATAAGAGAAAGACCGTTGCGTGCATCAAATCGCAACAGTTTCATGTTGCTAATGTTGATGTCGCTAGAGCTGTTCTTTCCAGTAACGCATTTCCACGTTTCAGAGTCCGCTTCGAGATACGCATTGGAATCGCCCATTAGAATGAGGGACTCTGTAGTAGGCGCTTCTTACTGAGCACACTGCAAGTCCTCAAGGAAGGACTCATATTCTCCCTCAAAATTGGACACATACACCTGTAACATAGAGAACGATTTAGCCTGTTGCAGCTTCAGTCGAAGGGTTGCCACTCTTCCGCTGACAGGTTTCTATTCAATGATTCAATCATCCAGGTTAAAGTTCTACCAGAACACCAACACCTGTGTCAGCGCGCGTCATGATGTCAACACCTGAGTGGAATAGGATCCAACTATAACGGGTTAGGATTCCAGAGCCTTGGTGCTTCGTTGAGATGAGTCAATCTTTATCGAGTTGGTATCTTGCCGCCTCATCAACTAGTTCCTGCTCTTTTCCTGTGAGTGAGGATACGTTCGATTGTAAGCTTTCACTGGCAACGTTGTTCCCGTTAAGCTTTCTGGCTTGCTGTATTGATATCTTGCTGTCTGACTCCTCCGTTCAGAATTTGTAGCTACTCCGTTACTGATTGTATTTTCGTCGTCATTTTGTCTATCTTCGACAGTCGTTGAGGTGCTGCTATGCTCTGTTCAGCCAAAGGGCGATGAGCAGGTTCTGTTCATGGACTTTTCATAGCCTGCCTCATTCCCCCAACCGTCTTAGCGGCCTTTTATAACCCGAGCCACGACTTCTCCGGTATATTTTTCGATGACGTCAATACCATGAAGGCGACGAATTTTTACGGAGACTTAGCCACGTCTCCAACTTTCCGCTTTCCTTATCCGGGCTTGCGTCGGGCAGCTGCGGTGTTCTGTTGTGTGTGTAAATCAAACAAAACGCACCATGCAGCGTTAATTACTGCTGCAAAATATTTCAGGCATGCTATTTTGACTACGAATTTTACATTTTTGGTTTCAGGCGAACTGATGGAAGCATTGAAAATTGATGACCCTCTTTGCTTTTGCGACCGCGGTAGGTTCTGTATTTTTGTCATGGTAAAGCTTATCCATGTAATTTAGTGACCTCATTTCTCGACAAACATCCGTCACTTAGTGATTCCGTTCCATCTCCTGACGTTCATGCGGTAAGTGCGAAGTTGCGTCTTGAAAATAATTATTAATTCAGTTCGCCTAACTTATCTATCCCCTGAAATCTGATTTGTACAGACTCTGAATACTTTATATAGCTTAGACAGACCTTCCTTGTACCCATTATACTGAAAGGCTTAGCTTTGTGTAGCTATTTCAAACAGTTAATTCAATTAAATTATTTCGCAAAATAATAAAATGTACGGCAGAAAGTCGTAGGGACATCAACATTTGATGTAAGGAAAGCCAAGAAATTCTGTGAAAGAAACAATGAATATTGGAGGTTTCTGTGCCTTAGACTGGTCAGGATATCACGTTAAATCTTCCAACAGCAGTGAGCAACTGTCATATTTTGGAAGCGTGCTCAGATGGGCAGTCATTGGATTAACACTGTTAACTATTTGTTCTGAAAAGATCTGGTACAATTTCGGACAGAATTCTCCTACTTGTGGCACAAAGTCTCTGCTTTGAATAATCTGGGTAATGATGGAGCCCGGAAGCTTGCAACTGCCCTAGCATTCGATTTCTTCTATATGTGTTAAAGGATGTAAAACTGTTTAGTTCCTTGAACAAGGACTGCACCTAACAGCTTCCTTGCTGTCTGCATATCGATTAACAAACAAAACTGCTAAAACTGGTATCATGCCGCTGAGTCTGCTTTAGGTAATGCATAAAGGCTTATCAATTTCTAATAGGAATATTCAGCTATTCCTTTTGCTACTACATAGCATAATACGATTTTCATTTTTCAGATTCGTCTCTTTACTTTACCCGGATTCATAAATTTTATACAGCAGTTTTTAGGATTCAGCTTCACCCGTTTCACCGCCTGATCGGAAGCGCAAGAGATCTCAGACGATGGAACAACACGCTGCTGCTGATTCCACGAAAAGTTTATCGCAGGCCAAAGCTTCTTACGGAAGTAATCACACTGACTAACTTTTGCTCTATTTGATTGGTTTGATTTGTGACTATTCGTTTATTATTAGAAGACAAATATTTAAAATATATCGATGCCAGATAGAAGCGGCGAAAACGTAGTGTAAAGAAAGGAAAATTTCTTACTCTACACCGATACTGCGTTGATGTAAGACAGATGAAAATCTTATACCATGAAGTTCCGAAGTATTGCACCGCCCCCTTGCTTCTAATAGCCTTGGGGAGACCGTTTAAGCAGGCCACGGCTCCATGGTGTTTAGGCGCCTGCAGTGCAAAAGATGCAGAAACGTCTCTTATTTTAAATATTATCGAAATCTCCACTCATGGAGTCTGCCACAGAACATCGGGGTTATGTTTTCATTAGAAGACAAAGTTAACGTTTTTCAGCGTAGCTTATGGGCGACATTGTTGGTAGCGCGGCCTCCTGTAAACTATACTTTGGAGCTGTTGTCTTTTGTAGATATTCAGACTGGT